TGTTTCAGGAGGTGCAGCCAGCATCCCTGCGAGCCTGGGCTGCCACAGGCTCTGTGTGTGTCAGCCCTGCACTCATGGCTGGGTGCACTTCACCACAGATAACCCCAGACTGCTCTGGGGGGGAAGGACATGGAGGTTCTATCCCCTCCCACTGCCCCAGGTGCTCCAGCCCCAGTGCCCAGCCTGGCCCTGGGCACTGCCAGGATCCAGGGGCAGCCCCAGCTGCTCTGGGCACCTGTGCCAGGGCTGCCCTCCCTACAGGGAACAATTCATTTAATTAATCCAATCTGAACTTACTCTTTCCATTTAAAGCCACAAAACCCTTTTTTAAATTTTGTTTCTGATGCCATGTTTCAAAGGGTAATCTAAAGCAGCAAAGGTTTGTCGTTTGCATTTTGAATATTTGCAGGAGTGCTTGTTTTCCCAGAACACTGGAAGCAGCACAGGTGCCTGAGGAGAGCAGAGAAAGCCTCGGTGAGTGCAGTTAGTCCAAGGAGAAGAAGAAACTGTTGCTTCTGCACAATTCCATTATTCACTGCTGAATTATACTTCATTATGAGAGGCTGCCCAGCACCCCTGGGGCTGCAGTGGTATTATCAGCTTCAAGGAACTCCAGCAATAACAGCTTACCTTACATTTATGGAACGCTTTTCATTTGCAAATGCTTTGCAAACAGCAGCTCCTCTCCTCCCGACATCTGGAACGCAGATAAAGGTTATTGGATCTATAAAGCAGCAAAGAAAGAGGGAAATGTTGAGCTTTATTTAATATGAAACACAATGTGCACAATCTCAGATCTGCTGGTATTTCTCAGAGCTATTCATGTCCGAGATCAGGTTTTGTGTCACAGTGGCAGGCTGAGATCAATGGTGATACAACAGCAGAGCCCCAGAAGTGCCAAGTGTCTGTGGAATCACGTGGAATCTCTCCCACCAGTGCACAAATCCCTTTGAAAAAGGAGATGTAACCATTGCAGCAGTTGTTAAAAATGCATGTGCAGCCTTCACAGGAGGCACACTCCATCTGGAATGGCAGAGCAAACTGGTGGCACTGGGCAGGGCAGTGCTTGCACGTGCAGCTGTGAATTCAGCTCGAGCTCAAAACTCCTGGGCCCCTCTTTCCCTCTCAGAGGAGCTGAGTGAGCCCTGGGGAGCTGCTGCCATCCCAAGGAGCAGGTCAGGAGCTCCCTGGTGACTGAAGGGCCGTGCCTCACTCCCTGCCCTGCAGTCCTGTCCCATCCATTTCCCTGAGCAAACTCTGCTGGGGAGGCTGGGCTGGGTCACTGAGCTCTGCAACTGCAAAGCTCCGAGCAGCAAAATAATTGCAACTGCTCTGCAAAGCTCTGAGCAATAAAATAATTGCAACTGCTCTGCAACTGCAAAGGTCTGAGCAATAAAATAATTGCAACTGCTCTGCAACTTTAAAGCTCTGAGCAATAAAATAATTGCAACTGCTCTGCAACTGCAAAGGTCTGAGCAGTAAAATAATTGCAACTGTTCTGCAACTGCAAAGGTCTGAGCAATAAAATAATTGCAGCTGCTCTGCAACTGCAAAGCTGTGAGCAGTAAAATGCCTAAAGCACTTGCTGAGGGCACAGCAGGGCTCAGGGCCGGGGTGCCCATGCCCAGCCACATTTTTGAGCAGCTCCCACAGTGAGGGGAGGAGGTTTTAATCAAGTGAAATTCCAAGATATTGCAAATGAATAATGTCCCTATTTCATGAGCTGGCTTCCAGGCACTTGGGCATTTCTGTATGATGAAAAAGACACCTTTGTGATATAGATATTTGTGTGTATGGGTGCAGTGTGCCTGTCACAAGGTCCTGTAGTGACAGGACAAAGGGGAGTGACCTGGAGCTGATGGAGGCACACATTTAGGTTTTGTTGTCTTTTCTGGCTCGCTGGGAGTTGGTGACTTTTCCTTGTTTAAGCACAGAAGAGAGTGGGGCTGGTTGTTGTCTTGCTTTGGGTTCTGTGTGCACTGGATTGAGCTTTATAAAAACCAGGAATATCTCTGGGCTAGCAGCAGGTGTATCTTCTGGGGACACCTTTATCTTCTGTGAGTCTCATTACCCTGACCCTAACTCTGCAATTAGCAGCCTTTAGTAAATATTACATATTATTTATGCTTCCCAGCCCTCCCATGCTGGCAGGATGAAGGTTTCAGGGAAGCAGGGGGAGTGCTCTGTTACCTGTGGGTGGAATGGGGGCTCTGTCCCCAGCAGCCCTGGCTGATGTTTGCCCCTGGCCCCAGCAGGATTTACCAGGAGGAGGGCTGGGACCTGCCTCAGGTCCTGGCAGCTCCAGGGAAAACATTCCTGGTGTGGCACAGAGCTCAGGGATGCAGAGCAACTTTTAACTTTAACTTTTTGAACGCCTGTGAACCTTTGCATCTCTCACAGTGTTTGTGCAGCTTTGCTTTTTAACCCACTTCCAGTGTCCCGATGTAGCCATGATATTTTATGAACAATCCTTTGCCAGGATTTTTCCCTCCTGAGGAGCCTCAGGAAAGAAATGTGAACAATAACTCTCTGCTGCTGTGGAATGCAACAGGTGCAGCTGGGATTGGTGCATGTTGGCTGTCTCTAATTAATGGCCAACCACAGATGCAGCTGCATCGGCCTCTGAGAGTCACAAGATTTTGTTATGCATTCTACTCTGGTTCTTTCAAGCCTTCTGATTGCTCTTTTCTCTGTATTATTTTAATACAGTTTTAATGTAGTATTTAAATATAATATATATAATAATATAATAAACCAGCCTTCTGACTTTATATATATAATGATATAATAATCAAGCCTCACATCTCCACACATGAAGTGTTTCCAACGTCCCACTCTGTTTCCTTCAGTGGCTAGCCAAAGTTTCCAGGAATTCCCTCTGCCAGTGCCCTGATCATTTGAATTACCTGAATAATCTCAGCAAGGGTTTGTTTTGAAAGCCAATATTTAGATACAGAGCTGCTCATTTGCATTTTCCCCCCCTAGGCCTCGGATGGGTTTGTTTGTCCCGGATGGGTTTGTTTGTCCCAGATGGGTTTGTTTGTCCCGGATGGGTTTGTTTGTCCTGGATGGGTTTGTTTGTCCCGGATGGGTTTGTTTGTCCCGGATGGGTTTGTTTGTCCTGAATGGGTTTGTTTGTCCCAGATGGGTTTGTTTGTCCCAGAGCTCAGCCCAAACCCTTGTCCTTGTCCTTTGCTGCTGCTGATCCTCAGCCCTGGGAGCTGCAGCATCCCGGATCTGGGAGTAAACAAACTCAGCCAGTGCAGGCGGTGTTTGCAAGGTGTTCCCTTCTTTATTTACCTTCTGCAGGACATGAAATAAATCTGCAGTTCTTCTCTGTCAGAACCCTGGGTGATTAAAGGTGTGAGGCTGGGACTGCCTGGGAATAGAAGGCTCCAGGGAAACTCTAAATCCCCCTCCAGGAATTAAAGAGGGCTTAGAAAAAGGGGGGAGAGCAAATATTTTCACAGGCAGAGAGTGACAGCAAAGGAGGTTGTTTTTAAGGTAAAAGAGGGTGAAAGGGAATGCCAGCATTTGGCCAAAAAAGCACTTGACTCATGAGAAATAAAGAGTGGCAGGAAGGTGTTTGGGAGCTCAAGTTGAAATTGTTATGATTTAAGAGTGAAATTGTTGCTTGTCAGGATTAATTAGTTAATACAATTCCTAAGAAGACTATTACAGGTTCCTCTTTCCTAATGTTTTCTCTCTGATAGTTATACATTAATTTTAGTGACTATAATGAGAGTATAATGCAGAAGAATAGTTTTCCCAGTGTGATCTGAAGATGTGATGAATATTTGAGGTGCTTTTAATTTTTGTCCATTTGAGGTGAAGTTTTCCATGCATGTTTGCTATGTAGGCAGAACTCCTGTTTAATTTACATTTTGCATGTTATTAATTACCAGTGTTTAATGCACTTTACCTAAGCTTCAAAATTTTAATTCAATTTATTTTTGGCACCTCATTAAGTAGATAATCTTGGTATGCTGTGTTACTTCTGGAATACTTTTCCAGTGCCTAAATGCCTAATTTTAGCACTTTTAAAATTCCTATCCAAAAATACATTTCGTTTCTCCACTTTCATAAATAAAACCGTGTATTCAAGACTTCATTTTTCTCAGCACTTTGTAAAGTAAACTTTAAATATTTTCTTTACTTCTTTATGTGTTTTTTTTTTTGAGTTGCCTGGCGAGAAGATGCAAATGTGGCACATATAAAAGATCTTCCATTTTAATTTAATTGCTGAACGTTTGTGCACAGTGCAGCCATGATGTGTTTGGCTTTTATTGCCTGCTCCAGCAGCTCCCACCGTGAGCCAGCGAGTCCCTGGGAGCAGCAGAGCTCTGTCCCTGCCTGTCCCCTGGCTGTGCTCCTGGCTCCACGCTCGCTGTCCCTGGAGCTGATGGAGACCTGCAAGCACCACAAAAGGGCACGTTAGAAAAAGGATTTTTAAATATTTGTTTATTATTTTAAAGAAAAGATAAAATTCTTCCAGGCGTTCTGGAAGTGGGAGTGAGGAGTTTGTCTCACAGAATGAGAATTCCTCCAGCTTCACTGAGGGCTCCTGGCTGGGGAAGCAGGAGTGAAATGCCTGAATTCTGCACCCAGCTGGGCAGTCCAGGGATTTAAACACCAGATTGAAATATCACAGAATATCCTGAGCTGGAGGGGACCCACAGGGATCATCCAGTTCCCACTCCTGGCCCTGCACAGGGCACCCCACGCACCTTAAATCCACTGATAGCACCCATGAACAATTGTCTCCATCAGATGTTTGCTGGGACAGAAATGGGCTCAAAAGTAATGAAAAGAAATTTCTTTTTATTGGAGCAACATTTGGGCTTGGTCCTGATGCTCTTCCTCTGTTTCAGCCACTTAGAGAAATTATTTTGCTGAAACATCACAGCAGCTGAGCCTGCTCTTGACAAAGCAGTGCAGAGAGCCCTGCTGTCCTCCTGGTTTTACCTAATTAATTAATAGAAATATTTCTTCTTTCACAGGTACAGAACAGGACAATTTAAATCAAGCCATCCCTCCCCTTTCTTGGCTTGGATTTGGCTGTGTCAGTCCTCACTTTTCAAGGGGGGCAGAAACCCAACCCGTGGGTTTTGTGCCTTTCTAAACCTTTCTTGGTGTGGTGATTTCACATGGGAGCAGGAATTGCTGCTGCACAGGGAAGGTGAGTGAGTACCCAGTGAAACACAGCCCTGTGCTGGGCTGGGGGGAGTCTTTTCACAATTTCCTTGGCAAAGGGTTGCGGTGTGGAGGTAAGTGATGTCTGGCATTACAATATTCTATTTGATATTTAGGATGGGCTTGGAGCAGCCTGCTCTGGTGGAAGATGTGCCTGCCCATGGCAGAGGCTGGAATTAGATGCTCTTTGAAGTCCCTTCTGGCCCAAACCATTCTGAGATTTATTCTATAAATTTCCCATTTGCTGTTTCCTTCCCTTATTAAGGGAGGCCAATATAACCAGTGAATCCCAGTAACAATTCAGAGTCCTGTGGTGGTTTTATTTTCTGCCCTGTCCCCGTGCAGCTGCCAGGCACTTGGCACATCAGTGCTGGCCTGCAGGAGCTGCCCTTGGTGCCAGGTGAGTGCCCAGTGGGGTTTTGGGGCTTGCCCACCTCAGATACACATCCTTTGATGCCATAAGGAAGTCTCTGGGGAATGGAATGGTGTTGCTGGCTGTGGTGTTGGAATCCCCAGCTGGATTTGGGACAGTTTGGAAGGGGTTCCTCCAGACAGCCCAGTTCACCCAGAGTTCCTCTGTGGCTCCAGCAGGTCATGGGAGCTCTTAAATCAGAGCCCAGAGACTCACACAGCCTTGCAAGGGTTCTGTAAATTACAGCAGCACGGGGAGGGAGCTCTGGCTGTGGGCTTTTAGCCCTGATTTATGGCCCTCCTCAGGAGAGCACAGGGAGGACAATGACTTCCACATGCTGAGTCAAACAAGAAACAGCCCAAACTTTGAGTTGTTTTGCTCTTTAGCTACTCCAGAAAGCCACAGCACACATTTTGGACCTGTCTGGGGCTCATATATTTTATCTGATAGGTGTTATCTGGTGAGAAATGATGTTCTGGTTCAATAAGAACTGGGAATTCTGGGCTGAGCCCACCCTGAGCCCCTGCTCTCTGCAGGGTCATGCTTTGATTTGCTTTATGAACTGAAGCTGCTCCCACTTGTGATGGCCTCTCCTGGCCCCAGCAGCATCCCTGGTCCCCAGGTGCTTCCCCTGACCTTCCAAATATTTTATGGAATATAAAATATGCTTCTGTAACGTAGAGCTGTTTTAGGAGGTTTATTAACATTTTATGTAGTGTACAATGTATGAAAGTAATGGTCCAGTTATTTATGTGACAAGGTGTCCCTGAAAATGTTCCTGTCTGTGCTGTTTTAATAAGGCACTAAAACACCAGAACCCCCTGCTGCTGAAGCTTCTCAGCCCTCAATTCTATCCCTGCTGCAGCTCATGCAACATCTGCATTCAATCTGTTTTGTTAAGGTTTTCAGTTAATGCAATTTAACAGGAGCATTAAACCCTGGTGGGGTCTGGTTTTTGCCCTGTCCCAGTGAGAGGAGCAGGGACAGGGACAGGTGAGTTTAACACCTCTGACAAGTGCATTTACCCAGGGCAATGAGGGCATGCAGCACGAGGCTCGTGAGGAGCACTGTGTCAGAAACTGGTGGGACACTGGGGGTGTCCAGGAGGTGGCACTCAGGGCTCTGGGCTGAGGACAAGGGGGGACTCCATGGTTTGGAGGTCTTTCCCAGCCTCAGAGATCCTGGGATTGTGTTCAGGCCATTTTCACTAGGAATAGTACCCAAGTCAAAGATGAGCTTTTTGGCCTGCTGGTCACATTATATTACAAAAATATCACATGATTTTTATTTTTTTAAATATTTTGTCAAGCATCTTCAGCACTTTGGAAGTTGTGTTATAAAGAACATTTTCCCTCAGGCAGCAATGGGTATGTTTGTTTATTTCATGCACAGTTGGATAAGTCCCTTCCACCTGGCCAGAGGAGATAAATGCAGGTGTTTTTGTCTGAAAGTCTGAACAAATTAACCATGAGAAAAGCCACGTGGAAAACGAAGGGAATAATTTTGGGTTTGTCCTTATAAATGCAGGAAAGTGTGAAGGTGCATTTGTTTGGCAGTGAGAAGATGAATAAATAAATGAAATGTAGTGGCTACTGATGGTGGACAATGAAATGCTCTGAGATTCCTTTAAGTTTCAGCTTTAAAAATAAAGTAAGGAAAACTTTTTTTTTTTTTTGTATTGTGAGGGGGAATAAAAGGAAGAAGCAATAGCTATTAAGTGCTGTCAGATAGCTGGTGGGCTTGTGTTCAGGAATCAATCTAGGTATCCGAGACAAAAATGAGCTCTGAAGTTGTTCTCTTTAATGCTGGCAAAATCTGCAGCAGTTTTGTCCCTGCTAAAGGCAGTGTTCTCAGGACACCCAGGGATGGGGCTGGCAGATGTGGGAGATGGAAGGGCTCTCCCTGCTCACTCCCTGTTAGGTTCTGTTTTGTCGGGCCAGGGTTTTATGAGCCTTCAAAAGGGAACCTAAAACACCCAAGGATAGCTTGGCTATTACCTTTGGAGGCAAAGAAAGAGCAGGATGGCTTCTGCTGCAGTGTTAGAAACAAAAAGGTTTAATAAAAGGCAAAATAAAAGAAAATCCGAGCCTGGTACAGGGGTCTGCCCCTGGTACAAACACCTTCACAAAAGCCGTTTATTTCTTTTGTCCTCCTCTTTTTCTACCTCATGGCCCAGGCAGGACTTTTTGGCTCCTATCCAATTAGGTGACCCCAAGGTTTTAGTGAAGTCTCTGGGGCCCTATAAGGTGGCTTTTCACCTGATCGTTGGGAGAAACTTCTGGGCTTCTTTCCTTTTTTGGGGGGACAAAGGCTGGCTTTGCCACTCTGTCATTAGGGGCACACTCCTACGTTCCTACAACTCCTGGCTGCCCACGCTCTGAGATGTCCCAGAGCAGGAGGGCAGCACGGATGTGGAAGGGCTCTCCACCATCCCGAGGATATTCCAGTCTGGAAATGGAAGTGGGCCGGACGGATGTGGAAGGGGTCTGCACCATCCCGAGGATATTCCAGTCTGGAAATGGAAGTGGGCCGGACGGATGTGGAAGGGGTCTGCACCATCCCGAGGATATTCCAGTCTGGAAATGGAAGTGGGCCGGACGGATGTGGAAGGGTTCTGCACCATCCTGAGGATATTCCAGTGTGGAAATGGAAGTGGGCAGCACGGATGTGGAAGGGCTCTCCACCATCCCGAGGACATTTCCATCTGGAAATGGAAGTGGGCAGCACAGATGTGGAAGGGTTCTGCACCATCCTGAGGATATTCCAGTGTGGAAATGGAAGTGGGCAGCACAGATGTGGAAGGGCTCTCCACCATCCCATGTGGAAGGGCTCTCCACCATCCCGAGGACATTCCAGTGTGGAAATGGAAGTGGCAGCACGGGGGATGCTGATCCCTGCCTGCAGCCTGGCCAGGAGAGCTGGCACAGCCCTGCTGTGGCACTGAGCCTCGTCCTGTCCTGTCCTGTCCTTCCCTCAGCAGTGTCAGTGTCCCAGCCCTGCTGTCAGCGCTGGAACTGAGCACAGCCCCCCAGGAGTCCCCCAAACCCATTCAGTGCCTGCCTCAGCACCTCACCCCTCCTTGCTGCACGAGCAGCCTGGAAAAGGGCAGGATCCGGGTCCCTCTCCTTCTGTGGCCCTGCAGAAGCCGTGGAATGAGCTGCAGACAGGAGTTGGAGTGTCTGATTCACATCACTTCTTAAATTCAATGAGCTCACAGCTGTGCCACCCATGTGCTTCAGCACTTGTCCCTTCCACAAGTTATTTCTGTCTCGGAGTCTGCTCAGGGAACAGCTGCAGGAGTGGTGGCTCTGCACTGGAGTACCTGAAAGCTGAATGTTTAGCAATATTTAACTGAGAATATTGCAGAAACTGACCCACACTTCTGAAGGTTTCACTGTTTAGTGAAAATTTTACTAAATTTAGGATTGCACATTAAATATTTTTTTCCCTCTGGAGGCTGTTATATGTGGTTACATCACAATTTATACTGGTTTTTGGGGTGAAAATCTGATCCTGAAGGGTGCTTGTTGTAAACAAATACGTAATTGTATTTATGGTGGTTAATGTGAATGACTGAGGTAAGCTCATAATTCTGGTTATTATGGAAAAGAAGTGCACGTAAGAACTATTTAAATGAGACAGGTAGAAGTAGAAATGCTAAATTTGATCAGTTAAGAAAAAGTAAAGGCAGGAAAGGGGGTTAATATGAAATCCTGGTTGGTCTACATGCAATAAATCTTATTCTGAGGGGAAGAGCTGATTCTCTGAATGGGGGGCAGGGACCAAAGCAGCTGAGCAAGAGCTAAATGAGAACCCATTTTCCTGCTTGTGGACTGAGTAAACTCTGCAGTGCTTTCTCCATGTGGGACCACAGGAGTGCCTGACACACAGCCACAGGAAATTCCCAGCAGTATCTGTGGCAGCAGACGAGGATTTCTGTGGGACACACTGGATGTGAAGCTAAAATGGATTTTTGTTTGGTGATCCAAGGCACTGCTGCTGTTAGAATATAAAAAGGACGGTCCTGTGAGTTGCCAATTAACCTAAATTTACCCAAGGGGGGGAAAGAAGTTCTAATGCTTTGGGAAGGGTTTTCCTGGCCTTTCCTGTGCTTTGGGAATGGGTTTTCCTGGCTTTTCTTGTGCTTTGGGAAGGGTTTTCCTGGTTTTTCCTGTGATTTGGGAAGGGTTTACCTGGCTTTCCCTGTGCTTTGGGAAAGGGTTTGCCTGGCTTTCCCTGTGCTTTGGGAATGGGTTTTCCTGGCTTTTCTTGTGCTTTGGGAAGGGTTTTCCTGGTTTTTCCTGTGATTTGGGAAGGGTTTGCCTGGCTTTTCTTGTGCTTTGGGAATGGGTTTTCCTGGCTTTTCTTGTGCTTTGGAAAGGGTTTTCCTGGCTTTTCCTGTGGTTTTTGCCTGTTTTTCCTGTGCTGTGGGAGGGGTTTTCCTGACTTTTCCTGTGCTTTGGAAGGGTTTTCCTGGCTGTTCCTGTGATTTTTGCCTGTTTTTCCTGTGCTGTGGGAGGGGCTTGCCTGCCTTTTCCTGTGATTTTTGCCTGTTTTCCCTGTGCTGTGGGAGGGGTTTTCCTGGCTGTTCCTGGCGAGGGTGTGCAGTGGAAGCTGGCACCGTGGCAGAGGTGCCCAGCCCAGGAGGGGCAGGTGAGACCTGGCTCGGAGCACTGCAGGGACACCTTGGACCAGCCTGGGAGGAGGCTCAGCTGGGCTGGGCTTGTCACCTGCCCCTGCAGGTTCTGCCTCTGCCCCCAGCAAACGCTCTGATTTCTGCAGCTCTCCAGTAAATCAGCACAAATGCACTCTGACAACATCACAGCCACTCACAGACCTGCTGGTTCTGTCATATTGTCTGGCTGCACTGAAGAATAGAATATTTTGAACAGATGGAATTTGTATCAATGTTTCTTGTAAATTATCATCTACCCGGCTGCTTTACATAGCAGTAAATTTATTTATTTATTGCTGGATTATTGATGATATTCTTCCCTTTATTTCAACTCTGACCGTAAAGAAGAGCCCAAATCAATGATTTGCAATGACTCTGAAATGCCTGTAGTGTGTTTGTGAGGATGCTTCTGAGACCCTTTTTGTGGGCTTTAATGAGGTGCCCTAACCACTAATGAAGTGTGTTTCTCAGAAGATACCACAGCAATAAAAGCATCTTCTTGTGGTAAATACCATCTCTGGTGAAACACCGGAGAGCTTAACGTGTTTAAAAGTGTGCAGCAATTTAAAATCAAATTACCAGTTAATCAAATAACATCAGCTTTGCCTCATTTCAGTCCTGGAACAAGCACAGAATTGTGGATTTTAAACAAACACAGCACACGGCTGCAGCAGGTCAGGTCCAGCCTGGACGTGGCTCCTTGGCTCCATCAAACTTCACATTTTCCACCTGGATGTTGTTTTCATTGGAGCTCTCCCAGTTGGAGTTGCTGGCTGCAGAAGGGGGGCTGATTGATTTTTATGCTAATCCTGGGTGAAAAGCAGCCGCTGTAGCCCCGGCTAATCCAGCTCATCGGGGCTGTGGACAGGCAGAGAACGGCTGGGGATGTCAGCCTGGGACGTGTTTAATCCCTGCCAGCCGGGCTTTCCCTGCCGCTCACCTGCCCGGGATCTGCTCCTGTCCCTTCTGGGGGGCAGAAGGGATGGAAGAGCTCTCCCAGCCAGCTGTGCCCAGGAGGAGAATTCCCTGGCGTGGGCACTGCTGCTGGGTTCTGCTTTGGTGGGTGCCCCTTTCCCCAGCCGGAGCACAGCCCTGCTCTGACCAGGGAGGGATTTACAGCCCGCCCTAAATTTGATTTGTTCCCACAAATGTTGTATGAAAAGGAGCTTGTTCTCTTTATTAAATACTCCCAGCCTGAGGGCACGGTTTATGCAGCATCATTACACCTGGTGGGAACGAATCCATCCTGCTCCCTTTGAAATGATTCATGGCAGGGGGTGGATCCAAGAAAATGGGGTTGGGATGTGCGTTCATCCAGCAGCTAATGAGAACTAGTGCATTTTAATGTCATTTAGATATTTCTTATGGAGGGGTTTCACAGCTGGCTTGCAAGTAAAGCTGAGTTAATAGGAGAAATAATAATTGGTGATTCTTGAGTGTGTTTATGGTAAAGAAGAAGACAAGGTTGTTAGCATGGAAACAGATTAGAAAAGATACATGAACATTTTTGTGAGCTAGATACATGTATAAGTAGATGTGTATATTATTAAATGTGTTTTATTGGATAACTAACTAATAAGACACATATAATAAATATACTTTATTAGACTTAGTATATTATTAGATGTGTTTTATTAAATTTTTGTAAAACTTTTGTTAATTACATTGATGTTAATTGCTTTGCACCAATGAATATAATAAGTTATAGTGATGTACTTAATGACTTAAAATCACACTTTATTAAGAGTATATAAGCTAGAGAACACGCAGAAGAAAAAACCTTTTCTTCTTAGACCCTGATCATGTGTGTGTATGCCACATGTGACCTAACAGTGACAATTCCTCTCTATACATCTATATATAGATATGTATGTTTGTGTGTGTGTGTATATATATATATATATATAATATTTGTTGTGTACTGGATGGGGCTCCGATTAACCTGTTCTAGTGGAACATTTCCTGACCATGGAATGGGGTTGAACTAAATGGTCTTTAAGGAGCCTTCCAATCCCAGCCTCTCTGAGATTCCATGATTTCTCAGTACAAGACTCAGGGCTGTGTCCCCCCTCTCCCCTGCACTAATTACCTGTGCATTCACTCAGCACCTCTGAACTGCCACACACAACACTGAACGCAGAATTAACTTCTTCTAGTGCCTATAACAGAATTAAACCCCAGCTTAAGCAGGGCAGGCTTCAGTTATTAATCCTCCCATGAGCGACTATAATTATTTTTGCCAGCACTAATTTCATTTGCATATGTGTAGTTAAGGGAAGCAAGGGGGGCTGGGGGGTTTTGCTGAATGAAGCAGAGCTGATTTAAAGGAGGGAAAAAGCAGCAATGCCCTGCCAAAAAAAGGCAAATGAACCACTCTGAGTGTTTCTGATCTCTGTGTGTGAGGGGATTCCTGGGAGAGTGTTGTCCTACATCTGTCAGGAGTGACTGGATGTGACAGGGAAGGTGACGGGTGGTGGGGCTGAACAAACACTGCTCAGTTCTGCTTTCAAACCCAGCAAAAAGAATCACAAAGAGCTCCAGCTGGAGATGGGAACTCAGTTTTATTGGGCTTTTCTCTCATTGGTGTGCTCGGAGTTCTGAGGTGATGCAAACACCTGATTGATTGTTGGACAAAGGACAGGAGCAAAATTCCATTTGGGCCAGTGGATGTGCCACGATTTTTTCCTTCCCAGGTTTTTAGGAAACTTCAATCTGTGTCACTGTGCTTTGTTTTGCAGGTTGTTGTGGCCTTGCCTGTCAGAGTGTGGGGGTTTGCTGGCAATAATTCCTGTTCCAGGCCAAAAAAAGCGCTCACGTAAGTCAGCTCAGATGGTTCCTCCTTTCCCTCCTTTCCCACAACTTATTTTTGGGTGCTAAAGTTGTCACTACCAGTTGGATGGGACAACACAGGCTTTGCATTTTCCTTGTGCTGTGGCAGGAGAAGCAATTTCCATAAATTTTACTGGGATTTGCTTGGAAATGTATTCAGTGCCAGCTGGTGAAGGAGAGGTTTGGGAGGGACGTGGGTGGGCTGATGTGTGTCCACCTTTGGCCCTGTGGGCTGTGCAGCAAACAACCAGATCTCCCTGCCCCGGAGCCCTGAGAGCCTGGTGTCTCTTCAGTTCCTGCTGATATTTATTTTTGGCAAACAGTCTCAGCACCGAGCTCAGCTTTCTGTGCTCAGGGATGACCTCGAGCAGCTCTGAGGATCAAAAATGTGAGAAAAGAAGCTACAAATGCAACAGAGCTCACCAAACCTCTGCAGGGCACCCCGTGAGCACCGTGGCACTGAGACACCATAAAAATATTATTAAAAATCTTATAAAAATAGGCATGTTAATAAGGGAGAGAAGTTGCCAAGGACTGGGGAGCAGCAGTATCTCAAAGCCACAGCTGGGAGTTGCACAAAGCTTTTTTCTTGCTCAACAGGCAGAGTGAAATAAATTTATTTTATTAATGGAAATCTGGTTTTCCAAGAAGAGAGCTCAGAAGGCAGAGGGCAAGAAAAGGGAATGGTCAACTTAAGTTCTTAATGCATGGCATTTTAAACTCCTTCCTTTTTACAAATGTTTAATTCATCACTGAATATTCCTTCTTTTAGTGCTGCTGAAACGGAGTCAGAAATAAGAAATCCTCCAAGACCTTGGTCCGTGCAGTCACAAATGTTCCACATGATTTGTGTTGAAATCTTCAGTGCTGGACAACTCTGTACATTTAATATTGAACTCCTGATTTTCCAGCTTGTTTCCTACCTGCACAGTGGGTTTATGTGTCAGTCCAGTCTTCCCACACTGGGTCTAAGTTTATCCAGTTAATTTGCTCAAAGCCAAGTGTTGAATGTCTAGATAAGCCTTGTTATTAATTAAATCCCTTCCCTCCATATTGCTGCTCATAAAGTGAATTTAACATTAAAATAAGGACCATCTTATTTTTGTCCCAGGAGCTCTCAGTGGTTTCCAGAGCTTCTCCTGTATGTGCAGTCTCCTGTCAGTGTGGAGCCAATTAAAGCACAATTAACCCATTTATCTGAGGGGCTCAAACACAGGCCTGGTGTGGAACCCAAATGTTGGGCTGGAAGCAGCTGGTGATGTGAAGGGAAGAGGGGAGAGGAGTGTTGGGCGAGGGAAAGAAATGGAAATAACATTGTTCAGTAAGATGTGAATGAATTTCAGGTGATGTTTACCATGTTTGCCATGACTGGCTCTGGCTCTGGTTTCCAACTTCCAAGCAAACATCCAACAATTCTGCTGGCCCATCCCTTGTGGATGCTTGCTGTAAAACTGCTGTCCCAGCTTTAACACCCCAAAGCTCTTTGCTAAGTGGAGAATTGTTCTCAGGCTGAGGAATTAATAGCAAAGTTTCCCTGACAGAAAGAGCCAGGCATTCATCCCACAGCAATTGTTCCCAGAACTGGCAAATACAAATTAAAGCACTTTGCTGCTGCATTTCTTTTTTTCTGTGAAGGTCTTTATTTATTACATTTGCTGTTTAGGTTTGCAGTCTCAGCCCTATATACAGTTACACACAAATTACACATGAAAACAAAATGTGGCTGGAGACAAGAACGAATGCTATCACTGAAAGAAATGATTGCTTTCAGAAATATAGCCAAACCTACCTCGTTCTCTTGTCTAAAAACTGAGTTTTGCTCCTCAGGACCTTTGTCAGACTGAGCAAAAAGATGTTCTGGCATTAACTCTTTTGTGCTGAGGGTTTTTCCTGTTCTTCAGGGAAGGAAGAAGCTGCACCTGAGCATCCCCAGGGGTGCACACGTGCCAGGGCCAGCACTGGTGTGTGAAGAACCATCCCCAGTGTCTGAGGAGGGCACAGGGACACTCTCACCGTTAATAAAGGGTTCTCTGGAAAGCTCTCCAACACAGCTGGAGTGCCAAAATGACTTCAAGTGCTCACAAACTCCACTTATGGGGCTGCAACTCAGCTGAGAGCAAGAGCTCCTGCTTTCTCCACAGAACGTGGGAGTTGTTCGATCCCACAGCTTTCAGTGACTTCGGAGTAAAAGGAAAGGTATTTCAAAGGAAGTAAAACACTTTCACCAGTGACAAACTTCCCCCAAGGTCTGATTGATGGTTGGAGTGAGCTCTGTAGAGCAGAGCTCCTTGAGGTGTGTGCTGGCTGAGGGGAGAGGGGAGCAGCCGAGCTTGGCTCACAAATCTCTCCTTGCTGCTGCCTTCTGTTGAACTTCAGTGTGTGCTGGTGTGTAATGGACAGAGAAAAACACATCTGAAAGCAGCAAACGTGAAAGGTAAGGATGCACTGAAATAACACCAGATGGACACTGTGCAGGAGGAGGAGACCCCTGAGCCAGAGACTGAGTCACTCGAGGGTCAAACTGAGCAACCCACAGGAGTTCAACACTCTGCATTGCTGTTCTTCAGTGACAGAGGTATTTGTTTCATTTAGTAACAATTAAATGAGCTTTTCTAGTTTTTGTAGGAGTCAGTTTTTCAGGCCTTTTAAATTAATGTGTATTTGTTTAAAAGTGCCAAAGCCTGGGAAGGATCTGGCAGTGCCAAACCACTTTTATTTCCCTAGCTCGAGGTGTAGAGAGCCTGTCTGCCCTGGTTAGGCTGATCTGCCCAGGAACCTGAATTTAGCTGACACACAGATGACACCCCCAGCCAGCTCTTCCCTTCCCCAGAGTTATTCCCATCTGTTTCTGAGGAGAGGAAAAGCAATTCAGGTGCTGGGTTGGTTTTGTTGCTGTTTTGTTCAGGAGAGAGCAGGCTCTGCTTCCTGCAGGTGCAACCTTCATCCACCAAAGCAGATTGATTTTTTATTTTAATGTGGGGCTAGAGGGATTTCATCCCTGTAGGTGTGGGAGCAGGACCTGCACAGGGTTCCATCTTCCCTTGCTGGAAATTCTTCATGGATATCCAGGTTCAGGGCACGTGGATGGTGGCTTGGCCACATCTGGACGTGTCACCTCCACCTGCTCAGGGCTGAGGGGCATCAGGTGGTCATGGGCTTAGCAAAACCACAAAATAGCCCAAAATCAAGGGATTTCCAGGGGCCCTGCAGCAGCCAGCTCCCCCTGTCCCCTGCACAACTCAGGGTGAGGATGGGGAGAGGCTTGGGAACATCTCACTGAAATTCCTCTCTCCTGATGCCCAAATTTGCAGCACAGGGAAAATCACAGCCTTTATGCAGTACTGGAGAAAATAAGCAGAACTTTCCATCCCTAAACTGTTAGAGTTGAAAATCCTGGAAATGCTTCATACACTTAAAAAATCCAGGGCTCCATTTCTGTATTTTTCTGATTGTTGCTGCACTTTCAGAAGCTCTCATTTCACACGTGGAAATTGGTGATGAGCAGATTAAGGGATTTCCTACCACCTGTGGAGTTAATAGAAAGAGCAGATGCTGGTAATGCTGGACAGAGAATTCTAGCTTGGAATTCAGGCTTCTTTCATTTGCACATTTCTGAGAAATGGAATATATGTGGCTCCTAATGATCTAAGTTATTAGGAAAAGAAAGCTTTAAGGGATCTGGCCCCGAGACTGTGTCCTATTAATTCTAAATGTAAAATAATTTCTCTGATGACAATGGAAAACTGCACAGTAATTACAGTGGCCCAAGAGGAGAAATTACTGTGCAGTCTCAAGTTATCAAACAGCTCCAACCTTTTTTAATATCACAGACATACTTAGGCTTCATGCAAGAAAAGCAAAGTACCCCAAGGTAGTCTAATTTCATCTCCCAGCAAACAGAAATCTTTTTTTTTCTGTGAATGCAAATCACATTTTTATTACAGCAAAGAGCAACGAGTCCTTTTTTTTTTTTTTCCTTTTAGCTCATTGGAAACACAGCTGATGTAATTGGACAATTGATGTAATTGCAAATGCAACTGCAGTAATTGCACATGCAAATAAGGGATTGTTCGCAGGGCTATAAAACTGGTGGGAGCAGGTACAATGTACTCCTGCATTGCCTGGCTCATAATTGGATGGGTGTTTTGCACCAAGGCTTTAATGCAGCTCCTTCCTCCTTATTTATCTGGGAACAGCTCCCTTCCCTAAATATGAAATATCCTTTACACAGCAAGCAATAAAAATAATGGGTTCCCCATAATACTCAGGGCTGGGAACGCATTATTTCTAAACTGTGGTGCCTTTTACTTTATGGAGAGTGAAATAAACACTTACTGGAGATAAAAGCTGCTCTGAGCTCCACAGCCACCAGGAGCCCCCGGAGCGTTTGCTGGCTCCACTGCAGGGGGAGGGGAGCGTGGCAGGCAATGGTTTGTGGTGGTTTTTTCAAACCTGTTGGTGCTAATGATAACATTTTAAATGTAATAACTTTTCCTCTCACTCCTTATCTTGGCAGTTTCCTTGGCATCAGCAGCTGCTCTGTGCTGAAATCCTCCTCTGCGTGTGAGGAAAGCCAGGAGTTAGTGCAGCCCCAGTGTGCCCAGCACAGCTCTGTGCCCAGAAGGGAGCTGGGCACACTCAGCTCATTCCCTGGGCTGGGAAAACACCTCTTCTCCTTGTTTTCCCCTCCTTTTTTACCCCCTGACTGCAGTGCAGGTAGCAGCAGAGTGTTCCAACAGCACCAGGCTTTAAGGGAACTGGTGGAGCCAGGTCCAGGTAAAATGAGTTTAATACATTGAATTTATTACTTTCATTGTGTTGTTCCAGAGTAGGACTGCACACAAGCTCCACATCTGCTGTGAAAGAAAACTTTGAGTTTATGAGGCAAGCAAAACCTCAGGCTGGGATATCATTGTTGGTAAATCCAGTGGCACTACAGGGATCAGGTAAAGATCCCAGTGATGCCCCCTGACATTTGAGAGGGCCAGGAAACATCCTGTGTGTGTGGCAGGAAGGGAAATGAGGGAGAGCAGGGCCATGTGGGGACCAGCAGAGATCAATTGCAGTGTACAGGAAATGCTTTTCCCTACAATCCCAGAAACATCTCCTCCAATTCATATTTAGAGCTCGAGGGATCCCCAGGAGGAGCTGTGACATCTTATTTCCCACAGTGTGCTGGGCCAAGAAAGGAGCAGGAAAAATACCTTCCCATTCACTTAATTATGGCCCAAGGAATAAATTATTCAAATTAAGCCAGCATTTCTATCCTGGTGTGGCCACTCTGCATCCAGAATAGCTCCAGGACTGACCCAGGGGTGATGTGAGCCCCCTTTTTCCTCTCTGTGAGGCCAATTCCTGTATTTGTCCACGTTCCTGCCTCAAGCTCCACATTCCTCATCCCTCTCTGAACACTGGAGTGACTCTCGGGACAATGGTAGTGAAGAGAGAGTTGGATTCCCAAAGGCTGTGCTTGCTCCTGAATCCCTCCCTGGCAGGGTGGTGCTGTATGGAAAAATTCATGGGTTCTTGCTCTGATGAAGAATTGGTGGCCTGGCACTGCCAGTCTGGGTTGCTCAGACTTTTCCTCAGTGCAGTCTGGCAATTCCTGTTCCAAAGCTGGTTCTGTGCAAGCCCAGAGCCCTGAGGCTCACCCTGCACAGAAGGGCTGTGGTCTGCAGGGATAAAACCCTGGGAATGACCTGGGTCAGGTGGGCAGCTCCAGCTCTGGCCTCCAGCAGTGCTCTGTGCGTGTCTGGGCAAGGGAAGGGCTGTGGCACTGCCTGAATTACATTTGAGAGCAGGATTATTTGCAGGTTCTTGCTCTGTTTGAGCTCCCTGGGAAGGCCCTGCTGAGCTTTGTTGAACAAACACTTCTGTGAGATGGGAACTTGATCTTCACATGACATTTATAGCTTGATAGGAAGAACCTCTGGCTTAATCTGTTCCACTGAGAGATGGGGATTTCTTTTATTTATCAACCCCAAGTGCTGCTTTGGGGTTAGCTCTTCAGCTGATGTGCTCCAGCATGGGAGAGTGTCAGATCTGGTGGAGAAATTGCAGTGTAACTAAAGGCTTTATGCTTCCCTCATTTCACCTGCTCTCATTTTCTCTGTCTTAATTCCAATGAAAGACAATGTGGTTTACCTTGGATCGTGTTTATTCTCAGAGTGAGAGCTTCCACTGCTCAGCCACACTGTCCATGGACTGGGAATGCCACTCCTCTGGAGCCAGGGCATCCTCACACTCCTGCTGGGCAGGTGAGCTCGTTTTGCCTCAGTGCCACAATGGCTTGGGTTGGAGGAGACCCTAAAGATGGTTCCAGCCTGGCACGGGCAGGGCCCCCTTCCCTGGAGCAAGCCACGCTGTCCATGGACTGGGAATGCCACTCCTCTGGAGCCAGGGCATCCTCACACTCCTGCTGGGCAGGTGAGCTCGTTTTGCCTCAGTGCCACAATGGCTTGGGTTGGAGGAGACCCTAAAGATGGTTCCAGCCCTGGCACGGGCAGGGCCCCCTTCCCTGGAGCAGGTGATGAGGGAATGGTCAGTCCAAGGCTCCTTCCCCTGGAGCAGGGCTGGAATGCTGCAGCTCCAGATGCACGGAGCTGTGTGACACCAGTGGGTGAGACAGGAATGAAATCTGTGCCACGGGGAGCAGTGGGTGCAGGTTTTTAAAGGGGAAGGTGATGCCAGCCCTCAGTGGGACTGAGCTGTTCCCATGCCATGATTCCCAGGGCTGTTCCTGTGCCACGATTCCCAGGGCTGCTCCCCTCCTGGCCCTGAGCTGAGCTGAGGCTCCAGCCAGCTCTATTGCAAAACCCCAAACTGGGCCTTGTATTAAAAGCAATCCCCCATATGGTGGCAGCCTTTTGAAAGAGATGGGGAAAACCTCCCTCAGTGTTTGTTTTAATGCAGCCAGAAAGAAAACCAGAGCCTGTGGAATGGCTCTCCTCAGGTCCATGGGGAAAATGGGCATCTCTGAAGCACTTCCACAGAAACCTGGGAGAGGGAGAGGCTTTCCAGTTCCTTGCCTACAGGATTATTTCCATTCTTGGCCTTGTATCAGGACAGGAGTGGGTTTAATCATTTCCATCACTTCTCAAGTGCTTACACAGTCAAAGTCTTAGATAAATACAATTTTTACCTTTGTGTAATAGTCTTATATTTTCATAGAATAAAACGATGTTTTAGGCTAAAAAAAGGTGTGAAATTTCAAATGGGCAGTGCAAACATGCAGTTTTAATGTAAGAATGTACTGAGGGCTGTAAGGACACAAACCCATGAGCACATAACCAGAATCAACCCAATGTGTCTGCATGCACAGATATAAAAATACCAGCTTCATTAGCAGGGTGAAGACTTTGTGTGAGTCCCTCTGGAGAGCTGCCAGTGTAACAAAATAGAACCAATATTGTAAATACAGGACCCAATATAACAAATGCAGGTCCCGCTTCTGTTATCTGTGCTGTGCTGAGTGCCTCAGCAGAGGCTGCACGCTGTTGTTGGAAGAGTTTGTTCCTCTTCCCTGAGCTCTTTCTGCTGCTGTTCAGCAAATTCCAAAATTAGGTGTTCAGCAGAGTCCTCCTTGTTCCCAGCAGCTTTTTGAGAGCCAGGAGCCCTGTGCTGGCAGCTCCTCTGCTGGGGCAGGAAAGGCAATCCGTGCCCTGAGGGGAGCAGGGGTGTCTCTGCTGGAGATGTAAATCCTGTCAGTCAGGGCATGAACTGGACAGCACGCTGGCAAAGTGGGGTTAATTCCCTTAACTGCCCATTAGGCCTTGCTCCTTCCTCCTCCTCCTCCTCCCATTGCTGAGGAGAAGGGTCCTGGGAAGCTCTGCCAGCCCTTGGGGGTTTGGGGCTCTGCAGAGGGCGTGCTGGGCAGCACTGCTCTGACTGAGGAAAGGCTCCCATTGACTCAGTGCAAGGCAGATTTCATTTTTATTCCCCTTTTCCCTTGGTTCAGTGAGTGCTGCCCACCAGAATCGCTCAGCTCAGGCGAGCAGGGATGCTGGCAGGCAGCACAGGTCCCAACACCACGGCACAGTGGCAGTGTGTGCCCCCGAGCTGTGGCAGGGAGGAGCAGAGCCAGGAGAGCTTCTGAGGGCAGCTTTGGAGCTCTGGTGCTTGGCAGTGTTTTCTCTTTCTCGCTGCTGCCCTGAAATGACCTGCTCCTGCACCCTGGGGAGCAGGCAGGGAGGGAATGGAGGGTGTGGGAGCTCAGGACAAACCCGTGCCAGTGCCACAGGAGCTCAGGACAAACCCGTGCCAGTGCCACAGAGCCTGTCCCTGCGCTGGGCAGGAGCTGAGCCCGGGCACGGGGGAATTCCCTCATTCAGCAGCCTGATAAAGGATGGGCTGGTGCAGGTCCTGGCTCTGCCCCGGGAGCACAAACCTCTCCCCACAGCTCCCAGCTGTACTCTTCCATGCCCTGCTCCACTTCCCTTGCAGGAAAACCACTCCAGCAAAGCCGTGCCCTAATTTTGTATTAATTTGCCCAATACATGTACATTTTTATTGCCTTAGAACACTGCTGCTGCTGGAACGCTGCAGCTCTGAGGCTCCAGAGAGGGAAATGCTGCCTTTGAATCCCCTCCCTGGCCACTGGCTGGAGGAAGGGAGCTCCTGGAGGAAGATATTGGCCTTGTGGACTTTGCTGACAGTCCATAAATCACAGTTTTGTCAGCCCAAGGAGGTGCCATAAAGAGAGCAGATTAAAGGAGATTAGTTCTGCCAAGTGCCTGCAGGGAGGATTTACAGCTCCCCCTGCCCCCCAGGAGCTGCAGGGGCTCAGAGAATCCTCCTGTGGCACCTGCAGCCGTCCTGGGGAGGGCAAGCAGGGATCAGGACAGGCTGGGGTAATTCTTCCATCTCTCTTGGGTTTGGAGGAGGAGAATTCCTGATTTCTGTCACCATGTTTGCAATCTGTAGAACCAAAGGCTGCTGGAATGGAAAGCGTTGGGTTGGGTGGGGAGGGACCTTAAAGCTGGTCCCATTGCAGCCTGCCCTGGCAGGGACACTCCCCTCTGTGTGAAACGTGCCCAGGTGATGGTGACTGATCCCTCAGGACACTCGTGGGACGCCCAGGACAGCAAAAGCAGGATGTGAAGGCAGAGGAGGAGGAGAGATCCCAACAAGCACCAGTTCAGGTGCCATCATCAGCTGGGTTTGGCTAAAAACATCCCAAAAGCAGAGCTGCTGTTGGCTCTTGTGCTACCCTGGAATCCGGGCACCAAAAAAGTCATGGAAAATGTGAATTCCCTTTGGGAGTGCCAGTGGGGTGTCATTCATCCCTGGGTTTGTGCTGGCTCAGGAAGGCTTCTCAAGCCTGGTTTGCAAGGCTCAGAGCTCCCCTGGACTCAGCCAGGAGCCTCTGGGAGAGGTTCAGGGCAGCCCCTGCCAGAAACACCTGGGAAGATGGGATAGGAGAGCCAGGAATGAGGAAGGGAGAGCTTTTCCTGGAGAGTCCCAGAGGAGTGGGGGCTGTCACAGACGGGCTGCACTGAGCATGGTTTGAGATCTGGCAGAGCATAGGAGCCTCAATCCCTTGGCTGGGAGCAAGAGCCACTGACTGTGGAGCCACTGCCAGCTCAGGTGAGACAAAACGTGCCTTTGTTCCCTGCCTGCTGCACAGAGAGGCAGGAAATCCCTGTCCCCTGATGGAATCCCTGTGCTCTGATGGAACCCCTGTCCCCTGATGGAATCCCTGTCCCCTGATGGAATCCCTTTCCTCTGATGGAATCCCTGTCCCCTGATGGAATCCCTTTCCTGTGATGGAATCCCTGTCCCCTGCTGGAATCCCTGTCCCCTGCTGGAATCCCTGTGCTCTGCTGGAATCCCTGTCCCCTGCTGGAATCCCTGTCCCCTGATGGAATCCTTTTCCTCTGATGGAATCCCTGTCCTCTGATGGAATCCCTGTGCTCTGCTGGAATCCCTGTCCCCTGCTGGAATCCCTGTCCTCTGATGGAACCCCTGTCCCCTGATGGAATCCCTGTCCTCTGATGGAATCCCTGTCCCCTGCTGGAATCCCTGTCCCCTGATGGAATCCCTGTGCTCTGCTGGAATCCCTGTCCTCTGATGGAATCCCTGTCCCCTGATGGAATCCCTGTGCTCTGCTGGAATCCCTGTCCCCTGCTGGAATCCCTGTCCCCTGATGGAATCCCTGTCCCCTGCTGGAACCCCTGTCCCCTGATGGAATCCCTGTCCCCTGATGGAATCCCTGTCCTCTGATGGGCAGGCTTTGATCAAGCCTTGCACGGCGCCCCAGGGGCCTGAGCTGTGTGCCTGCATCCCTAAAGAAATGTTTCTGCTCGAATTTCACCTGAATTTTGCACGGGTAAAATGCCTTCCATCCTGCTTTTTCTGCCTCGTTTTCAACAGCAATTTCCTGTTTTCCAATAGAAATGCAGATGTTTGATAAGTCCTGATGACGGGATGCTGCAAATCTGTCAGTGTAATGATTTCTCTGCAGTCTGGAAGGTGCCACTGTGGTTCTTATTTTGATCACAGGGTGCTACAGAGAGAAAACCTGCTGGAAAAAGGAACTGTGAGCCTGTGGGAGAGCACCTTTCCCATTTTCCTGCTTCTCTCTAATTTTTTTGGTAAAGTCTTTGGAAAATCCTCTTTTACATTATTTTTAAAAGGGATACAAGGTGAGGGCATGGGAGTTTAAATGGTTGTTGTTAATAGATAAATATAAAAATCAGAATTTAAATAGAAATATTATTGTGTATCTTATCATTTCAAAAAGCCAGTTGATTTCTACAGTCACTTTGAAATACTTGGAGATAATTTTCCTTTCATATTTTCCATTTCTAGTCTATCATATCCATGAGAATTACTTGATAACCTGAATTTTCCTGTGGTTTATTTATCTGTGGAGGAACTGGTCTGGAGAGCACAAGTCCATCCAGAAGTGTCTGTTTTGCTTGATGGGACATTTGCTCCCTCCCAGAGATGGAATAATCTGTCCCCATCTGACTCACTGAAGGAAATGAAATGCAAAATAAGCAGGGAAAGGGAAGCTGTGATGATAAAATATGAGATATTTGTTAATGTGCATCGTGCACACGTTCAGAGCCTCCAAATGGGGCCCTAAAATTTATCTGAATTCTCCAATGTTCCCTCCTTGCTGGGGAGTAACAGCCCCTGCCAAGCCAGCAGCACAACTTGGGGAGCACCAATATGGGGGAACTGGGGCCATTTCAAGGGTTTCAAATTCAAAATAAATAATAATGTATAATCTGGAATATTGAATCCATAATATTACATATATAATATATAATATTATAGTCAAAATAATATATAATAATATAT